TTTGGGCTTTGTTTGCTGGCCTTTAGTTTCCTCAAAGTAAGACATTACGGATCACGTATCTTAAAATTTTAATAAGTTTTCGTTATTTTCGTTATTTTGTCTCTTTGTTTTGATCTGGTAATTCAGAGGCATAAGGCCAGGCGTCCACTGATATGGAGCCAATATAGACTTCTCTGACGTTTGTGAGATGCACAAGTTTAGTGCAGAACTTTGAGTAAATTATAAGTATTAGTGCAAGAAAACCTTTGAATTTACCCAAAGTTCTGCATTAAACTTGTAAAATTCACAAACGTCAGAGAAGTCTATGGCATCGTACAACATGTCAAAACATTATGTCGAAGTCGTGTGGCGTGTGGCGAACGTCGACATGATGTGGTGACATGCTAGTCGACATGATGTGGTGACATGCCACACCTTCACCACTTCAGTGGGCTCATTGACTAAGAACCGCTAAACCGACAAAAAGCAGACCATAGGCGGAATATTTCAGTTGTTTTGTATCATATAAGTTTTCTAAACGTGGATCCAGACATTACGTTAAAAGGTAAAAAAGAAAAAAATATACTTCTTGAATGGTGATATGCTGGTAATAATGTTTAATCTTGTTTAAAGAACACCAACACGTTATTTTTTTAACTCACACGCTTACTTTAAATTTATATAGCAAATTCCTATTCTATCCCGCCGTTATTTTCATTGTTTAGTTATATTTTACATCTTCTATTTAGTTCCAAAATTCAAAGCTCTTTCAAATTTCAAAAATGTATAGAAACAAAATTCGAGATGGTTTCGCTCGAAGAAACATTCTATTCGAGGAAAACAAGTTTATGGGATACGATTTACAATAAATGTCGAAAAGCTGATGAATTTAGTACATCAATAGAATGTGTGCTGCTGCAAGGAGGATAACATTTTATTTACATATATAGTATATAAAATATGTCAAATGGCCACCCGCATAAACGCGAACCTTAACTTGACCTTACCAAAAATGGTTAAAAAATCGTTTATAATCCCTGCTAAACTTTACCCGAAATGGTTATGAAACTTTACATGAACTTTTGGGTGATAAAATTTTAACCTTATGTATTATGGTTTTTTGAAGTGGACCTTAAAAATGAAAGGTTGTTAAGAACCATTACCATTCAAAATAGTTGTTTATTCCATACATTTTCGGAAAGAAAACTATATCAGAACCTTTTTACTTATGGTTTAATGCGAGGTTTAATGGTTCTTAACAACCAGTTATTTGTAAGGTCTTGTTCTTAAAGCCATAATACATAAGGTTAAAACTTTATCGCATAAACGTTCATGTAAAGTTTCGTAACCATTTCAAATAAAGTTTAGCGGGGATTATTAACAATTAGCTTCGGACTTCATCAATTCAGTGACAGCCAGACATTTGAGGATTGTGGATCGAATATTATTAGCAGCCCAACAAAGCAAACAAAAATTAATATCGATCAACGTTATTCATGCTGACGTATGAAAAATGTATGTAGGTATAATAACAAAAAGCAGATACAATATTACATCCATGTATGTTAATTTGTTTGCAAATTTTCTGTGCATCGTACAACGTAAAATTACACAACCAGTGGAATGACCTATGTGCACGATGACGTCAGCACCACAGCTTTGACGGTTCAGAGAGCTTATTTACATGGACTTGGACCTCTTTTGGTGGTTTCGCTATGAGTGTTTGTATCGCACATTGCGTGATAAATCCAAAATTGGTGGCTATCTTACTTTTACTACTTATTCAAGCACTGCTAAACTGTCGGCTACTTTATATCACAGATTCACAAATATTACTTTAAACCACATGAACTTGACAGTTAGCATTTGTTTATTTCACGCGGACAATTTTTAATACGTTTTTACATGGTGGCTATCTTCACCTGCGCGTTAAAACCGCCGTCAGACTAGGATTTATTGTAAACAGTGTCAGAATTGAAACCTTACAGCTGAAGGAAATTCTACATGAGAATTTTTATACTAAAACCGGAATAACCCACTAGCGACAATCGATTTTTTTTTCTCATTCTGTACGTTAAACATAGTGTCGGAAAGAGTGCGCTGTATAACGCATCATTGTGCGATGACGCCGCACTACTTCCGATACTTGTTTAACTTACAGAACGAAAGTAAAATCAATTGTCGCTAATGGGTTATTTCGGTTTTCAGCTGTACCGATAGTATAAATCGAACAAGACGGTCGCGTTTATTTCTCGTCCGATAATCAATTCTTACACTTGGTATACAAAGTCTCTGAACTGTCAAAAAACTTAGGATAAATCTTTCCGTGCATAAAATATCTACAAAATGTTTGATGAAGGTTTTGTGGATGCCATTGGGAGAATTTTGTTTATTCAATTTATTTATTATTTCAGAATAAACTAAATTCTCCCAATGGCATCCACAAAACCTTCATCAATATTGTTATATTTTCGATATATATTCATGTACTGTTTTATGACCGCAACTCGCTATCATAAAAATACACATCAACATCCTAGTTTGTTCAATGCGTTTCTGTGTTTGTTGTTGTTGAACAATATTGTAAATTAAGCACTCAATCGAACAGAATAAAGTTGTCGCCATAGTAAGGCGGTTTTGTGAGGCGAGGCGATTTGAAATGACGGAAAATAAATAAAAATGAACTAAGTGTAACGCACAAATAACGAGTGACAGATATACTTCCACCAGCAGTACAGTGCTATTGCTTCGGAGATAGGTACTCTTACCACATGAAAACCCAAACTGATATAGTAAAATCTTACTTCATATTGCACTGCAATGTTTTTTTTTTATATTTCCAATATTTCCCCACGATACGGAAATGCTCACTACATTGAAGATAATGCCTTTTCCATAAGCCAAAACCAGTTGTCCACTTGCGGCCATCATACAAACTATCATAATTATGTAAATTTCTTAAGTGTCTTAGATATTGTGCATATAGCACCGCATTAGACTCTTGTACTAAAAATAATTGCTTATATACTGTTGGCACATGTCTGACAAAGAACATACATTGCTCAATTTTGTCTATGAAAGCGATATAATAATGCTATTATGCTATTCCCCCTTATTCTGCGCCGCGCGTGAGGTGAGGTAACACGCTGTCAATAGTGATGTAACAAAAATCACCGCGAGTGAGGTGACTCTCCGTGCAAATCAAATAGAGAATCACCTCAATAACGGTGACTATTGTTACCTCACTAGTTACAGCGAGTCACCTCACCTCACTCGCGGCGCAGACTAGGCCTCATTATTCTATCATGTAACTATTAAGCCGAAATGATGCATGTACTTGGCATAAAGTATCTTTCATTCAAAACTTTCTTTTTTACTGTTTTAAGCAATTATCTTTAGCGCAGAGGGTGAATGATCAATCGTTTGGAAGTTATTTTTTAATTTAATCTATACGATTTTTAACAGGAAAACTCGTGTTTTTATATGTAGTATCGAGGTCCTAAAAACACGTAGGGTAAAAGTACCTATAGTGGAGGTACGTTAGTGTAATAAGTTTGATAAATAAAAGCACTTTACAATTTCTCGTCCATACTATACCAAGTGAAATTTTGAAATTTGTATTATTTTGATGGCTGCAAAAGGGCAACGTTTTTGGTTTGCACATTTTGCTCTTATGCTTTGCATCTCTTGCCCGCTTGCTCTCTCAATTTGCAATCAGTATCATTGTCGTTATGATTCTAGACGACAAAATGCTCTTGGGTTTTTTTCCTTTACTTATACATCCGACGCCAATTCATAACCGAAGATATAAGCTTAAACTGAAATTAAAATTAAGAGAAATAATCTAAAACTATAAACACAAATCTACTAGTAATGAATTAGTATGAAAATGGTAACTAAAATTGTCCAAAGTTCAAATTTACCAAAATAATTCAGCTGCCGCATGAGTATAGAATGTTTGAAATTTAAAGAATGTTAAGTAACTGACCAACCTTATCCTTACTAAGAAATTAAAAGCTTTAACAAGAAATATTCATGATTACATCCTTCAAATATGTTTCGTTTGTCCTTGTAACGCCTATCACTTTTAATGATATATAAATATTATTTAAATCCATCTTTTGACCCTTATAACTGTTACACTTTTCCCTAACTTCCAAAAAGAATATCGACTATGTCCAGTGTTATGTTTATAATAGTGAACATTAATTGGATTAACGTTCGTTGTATTATTTATGTTTCTATTTCGACATCCTCACTTTTGGATTTACCTCCTGCTCATCTCACGGACATCAATTATTCTATCAGCTACCACTACCAACTGCACTGCAGTATTGTTTTTGTTTAACATTTTTTTAATTTTGCGAAATTAGATCATTGGTTTAATTTTATTAAACTCAACGATGGACTATTTACTTCCACTTTGTGTGCATGTACGTGTGTTGTGAACTGCCAATTCTGATTTCATGATTTGGTAACTTTTGACTATGTTGGTGTATAAATATATGTATTGGTACTTTCAAAACTCAAATAAGTTTGAAAAGGCCATAATAAGAATGAATCAATAGAAATAGTAAGGATAACAAATTAAGCTGTTTTAACGATAAGAGAAAACAAAGAAAAGTTAACATGTTAATAAGTTTAAGAAACAAAAAAAGATAGAAAAGCGATCATCTGAAGATCTTTCGCTTAAAAACTTGACGGGACACTCCACTCGAGCGAGAGTGTTGTTCGTTATTGATTCCGCAAATGTTTTATAGGAGGGGCGTCTCAGTTGCTGCCGACCGCTACCAGGATAACTAATCATCGATGCTGGTGTGTGCGCATATGTAAGACTAAGTTATGCTTGTGTTTCGACTTCTTGTGACATACTGGACACTCGAACTTGGGCTCAACGCCGCACTCAAAGCGAATGTGTCGATTTAGACTATGCGGGCGCGCATAGGAGTTTCCACACCTCGAACATGTATACGCACCACCGATCGAGGAAGGCACTGTTGGAGGCGTTGTTATGTTGATACCTTTGAAAATGGGTACAGGCAGGGGACTACTGCTAGTACCGCCAGCATTGGCTACTGCTGCAGCTGCAGCAGCCGCTGCCGCAATCAAATCTCGTTGCTGTGCCGATGATTCGGCAGCAAATTCGCGCAGATAATTAGGTGTCAGTAATCTCAGATCACAGGGCTGATCGTCTATTGGCGGTTGTGGTTGCTGCTGATGAGTTCCTGTTACTATCACTTCACTATGGATTATCGTCGCTTCACCACCACCCGGGCCGCTAGGTGTTGAGGGACCTGCAGATACAGAAACTGAATAATGGAAGTAAAAATGAGGATCAGTATAGCGGAAGGGTATTTCAGATATCAGATGTATGCGTGTTTGTATGTGTTCAAGGGCAACATTTAGTTTTTGCTTGCGTTTTTCTTCAACATCACAGCTTTATGAAACTGTAACCTTTCAAATTTTCAAATTAAATAATATCATTTAGAATTGTTTCTACAAAAAATCCTCAACACCATTGAAAAAGCTTACAGTTTCCGTTCGATGGTTGGTATAAAGCGTTCGATTGTTTTTCATTCCTTTATGAAGTGATTTGCAAGGTGAATTTTTATTGAATAATAATTTTAATTTGTTTTTTTTTTGTATGCCTACACACACTTACAACAGTGAATATTAAGTATAACGACATTTATAACGACAAGTGGTTAATATTTTTTGTTTCGTTAAAATACAGCAGCATTGCGTAATATAGAATGATATGTAAGAAATAATTATTACCACCACCAAGTATGATGTTCACAGAAATACGTCACTTTTTAAAAGAGAAAGTGTATATTCAAATATGAAGTGCCTCTATTTACGCATAAATAATAAACATAACAAAACTATTGCTTATTTATTGAATCGGTTGGGAACGTCGTTCTATACACATAATTTGTATAATACTCTCACTTAGGTATTGAGAACATAGATTACGGGAATCTAAAATTTGCTATCACAAGACGTGTCATCAACCGCAATCAACCGTCATTCCTTCTTTGCCAAGTTCATGAACAAAAATCCTTTCGTTTTTTATGCAACATTTCCATCTCGTCGCACATAGGTAAAGTTTACCCGTCACCTAAAAAGAAACACACATTAATAAAAAATCTTTATTAGACCAAACTGTTTTATTTATTATTTTATTTTTCTGCCCGGGGCATTGATCCTGGTTTATAGAACTTCTACAAGAAATTATTTTTTTGATGTTTTTTAGCAAGCATAACGATACCCAGGGAAGTCGAAACAAAAATGTACACCGGATCAGCAATCGAACAAGCCGCCCAAGTAAAGATGTGCTTTATGACCATGTCGCTTTGCACTTGCGGCTATCAAGAGCCCCAAAATGACATGAGATTCGTGCTTTCTGGAATAAATGAAACTTGCAACAAGATTTATGTTTTATTTGCTTTTAAGATTCATATTTTTTCGGTTCTTTGCTGTTTTATACTAACGTTAAATTCTGTACGCAATTCTAATAATTAATTCATCTGTTCGGTATTACACTCAGGTTTTTTTACATGGTATTTTTGCACGATTTTTTTTTTACACTTTGTGAATAATGCGGTCCGTTTTTAACCCTTTCCTGCCTTAGTCCATACTAGACCTGCCCTGTTCAGACTAGGGAAGTTGTAAACATAATTATTATAACATATTACAACGGCTCCAGTGTAGACAAGGCATTAAGGTGGGAAGGCAACCCAATGTCTTAATACTTTCAAGACATATTGTTTTGTAGATTCTGTTATACCAAACCTCTTTAGGCTGGAAAGGATTAACAATTTTTAGAATATGTTACAAAGTTACGATCTTAATTCAGTCACATTATTCGTTTTGGGCTATGACAATCTTAATGGAGTAATTGTTCATGAATAACAACAAAAAACGTTTTTTGACAATAGCAGCTAAATTAGTATCAAAATTAAACATTTAATAAGATGTCAGCGTATGAAAATTCTCAACATTAATTGATTGTTACACGGCGCATATCCCCAGTGTTAAAATAAAACCTGAGTGTATTTATTGTATGAAAGATCTATGCAAGTATGTAGACTTCCTATCATAATATAATAGGTCAAAATGTATGATGGAGATATTTTTATACTGTTTTATCTCAAACTTTCACTGTTTTGTTATTATTCTATAATACATTAGTAATGAACTGTTAGGATCATATTTATTTTAAAACTGGACTTTTCCTTCATTTCTTTGTGTTTTTTTGTTTATATAGGATGTCACAATTTCAATTGAATCAATCCACCAAGTTCTTGACAGTACGTGAATTATCAGAATAAGTCCGAGCATTTATTTAAAGTATAATGTAAAAACAAAAAACAAATGACTAATGCTGACTTTGAAATGTTAAACCTAAACTTAAAGTTTATTAAGTACATCGACTAGATAAAGGTTTGACGCTTATAATTTACTATCAGGTTTACAATGCATAAAAAATTGATTATTTAAACGTAAACTTCAGCTTTGTTTTGCAAAACACAAAAAATGCATTATTCATATTCCCGAGTGTTATTACCTACCATATACGAGGTTACATGCAGCAAGTTTTGGTTTCCACGGCTTTATGAGTTTGTAGTATATGTATTAACCACATTTGAAATGTTCAAGGATATTCAAGCTAAGTATTAACACATCTGTTACAAGTAACCCCGTAATTGCAAGTAAGGGGCTGTCCATAAATCATGAAGACCTCTGTAAATGTATAGTGGCCAACCCCTCCGCCAGCTGTCAACGTGGTTTATGTACAGCCCTTAGCTTTTTGTATCGGCAAAGCGTTTTTGACGACATGCATATTTCACTACTGTGTTAGAACCGAAGCTTATTTATTCGTTATCATAACCTACATTTATCTTGTACAAGCTTTCTTCAGTGGAAGTTACTGCTTTCACATAAGATTAATATGGCAACAGAAAGTGTGTGTGTGCGTGTGCCTGTGCCTGTGTGTGTGTGTGCGTGTGCGTGTGCCTGTGTGTGTGTGTGTGTGTGTGTGTGTGTGTGTGTGTGTGTGTGTGTGTGTGTGTGTGTGTGTGTGTGCCTGTATGTGTGTGTGTGTGTGTGTGTGTGTGTGTGTGTGTGTGTGTGTGTGTGTGTGTGTGTGTGTGTGTGTGTGTGTGTGTGTGTGTGTGTGTGTGTGTGTGTGTGTGTGTGTGTGTGTGTGTGTGTGTGTGTGTGTGTGCGTGTGTGTGTGTTTGTGTGTGTGTGAGTGTGTGTATGTGTGAGTGTGTGTGTGTGTGTGTGAGTGTGTGTGCGTGCATGTGTGTGTGTGTTGAGTGTTTAAACTATATAAAATAAAAACAAACAAAAATAAATTAGTCATAAAAACACCCTGTTGTCCTAAATAAATTAAATTAACATGAAATCATTTTAGGATAACTTACTTTTCTTGTCTACATTTTCTATGTTCTCGACGCTTTCGTTCCTTTTCAATCATAGTTTTATCATGCACAGAATGTGTCAAAAAGGTGACTACAGATTAAGCACACGGTTTTTTTTTTATTTTGCTCAGATCCATCACTTTTTTATTCTGTTTTTGATATCTTCATTGTCACAATGGCTAAATACAAACTGTAAAAATATCAATTACCACGCCTGATCATTGAATCAGCAAGATACCGCTGAATCGACACGCTTTGCGTTACGTTACTAAAAGAAACAGGTCCATATTGGAAAAGCCTTAACCACAAACACCGAAAAATTTGTTGGCGGTTTAAAAATTATCTCTAACCAATATTTCATCGTTGTGTTCAAATAAAACACCGATTTTATAAGCACAAACGACAGACACAAAGTGAAAGGCGGAGCGGCTCGAAAACTTTGGTGACGAACCTGCCAAGCATGGGAAAATTAATTCACTCGCGCGAGCACCACAGAATCAAAATAACCATCCTCGCCTACAAACAGATTGCCGAACGAGTGTAAATTCTTTCTACCAAGTGACCCTGCAGCTCGACTCAGAACTGACAGCAGTAGAAGGAAAGAAGGATAAACTGAAAGGCAGCCGAACAATTTTCTCTAGCGAGGGAGAACCAGATTGAATGCGTAAAATCCGAATGCTAACGATTTAAATAGCCGAGTCAGATAGTTTTTGGCTCACTGATTTAAATCAGTTGAATTGGCCACAGCAGTTTTAAGTTATTTGCGTGACGCTTATGTTTATGTGTTACAGTATAACAGTTTTCTCGATATTAATAGCGATTTAAATGTATGTTTAAAGCTAGAAAATAAAAAGTGATTCTTCCTGCAAAATTCTCATTAGGCTCACTCAGCAGAATACAATCGTAAAAGGCTCAGCATGGGAAAAATAATAAGAAAAGAATCATCCACACTACTACCCTCAGAATCATTCACGTTACGCTCAGCTGTCTGTTTTGCTCAATTCTGCATTCATCGAAGAAAATAAAAGCAATGCGAATACGAACGAAATCAGTGCGACTCGCACAAGCTACTGTTCGTTTTTGATGTTGTATGCGTGTGAGTGAGTTGAGAATGCAAAATAGAACGATTTTTCCCATGCTTGGAACCTGCTATTGCAATTTTTCAGTGTACCACATGGCAACACAACGGGTGGAAACTAACGATTTTAAATTGGCTCACTACTTGACTATTGGTCCCAAGCAAATCGATTAACGTATCCCATTTTAGCCGAAATTCTAGTACTGCACAATGTTTGTTTTGATTTGCTATGAATGTTTGACAGATAAAATGATGAGTTTGTGGATTTTCCTATGTTTCGAGAGGTGCATCGATTAGCTTGGGACCGAAGAGAGTACCAAAGCTGAGCCAAAAAGTTGAGCACGTTTCTTCGGGACCTTGTGGTCTTAGAATTACCTCTATTTAAATTTGGATTGGAGTATTTAAATAGTAATAGTTTGTAGTGCATATAAATGGTTTGAAAGCTATTTGTCTGACAGAACTCAACGGACTGTTTTTAATGATTCTGTTTCCAGCCCCGTGGGGAATAACCTTGGAGTGCCCCAGGGAAGTGTATTAGCAACAATCAATACGAAACTAACGATTTTAAATTGGCTCACTACTTGACTAGCCTTTTGGCAAAGATATTTCATTAACAAGATATCCCACAAATCAATTCCTCGAACAAGGCAATGGATACACCACCCTTATGTGATCGCAGTGCCATCTCGTGAGTGCACATTTAAACTGTTGGGAGTCCCCCGCCAACTTTACCACCAGGGCTCAATAAATGACAGGTGTCAGTATGACATATGCCAGCGTGGACGTTGATGATCAGCCGATGGAAGAGGATGATCGATGTCATCATCATTATATAGTCCATTTTATGAAATGACAGGAGTTGGTTTGCCTGCAAGAATTTGATGATATTGATATTGCTTCTCACAGCCGTTAGGTAATCGCCTCCTGTCA